TCTAGTGAGAGCCAGTGAGTGTTGATGCTTCTGTGCTGTCCTCATAGCAGCTGTGAGCTGCGACTGTCTGTCATTACTCTAGAGGAAGAGGGGGAGGGAGGGAGGGAGGGAGAGAGAGCCAAGCTAACAAGACTCACAGCCAGAGAGTAGCTTACCATTTTCAGTACAGAGGACTCAATAATCACCTTACTGTGAGTCTTGAGGACCTTAGAAACAGAATGGATCTAAAGAGGGAGAGAGAGTCTAACCTCAACTGTGACTAGCAGAATGATGTAAGTGTATTATATATAGGATATACCAGGTGTGTGGATGGTTTTAGGATACAACACTTTCTCAGCAGGTGGTGACTAGGATGTGGCTGGGATGTGTCCGTGGGTTTAGTAACACTTCCCTTTTCACATCCACAAACCGCAGCAGCTAATCAACACCAACTTCCTATCCTTTAATCCCTACCCACAGTAGATCTACTTCCATTAGAAGAACCTCCTTGCTTTACATATAAGACTTACGTATTCACTTGATGGATGTACAAGTACAGGTATAGACACCATTAGCTTCTAATTGGAGAGTCTTTGATACATTTACAAGTACATGTACATGTAGGGACACTAGTGTATGTACATGGGAAGGTATGATGGGAACTGAAGGTGATGGATCAACACAACATGTACTGTATTGTATACTGTAGTATTGTAGTGTATTGTATTTTAGTATACTGTAGTGTAGAGTAGTGTATTGTAATATACTGTAGTGTATTGTATTGTGCTGGGGATTAGCAACTTAACAGCTAATGAAGGTCAGGAATAGTGAGGAAAATAACGACATACATAAATAAATGTAACAATACTTAAGTACATTTGTAAACAGCTAGAGTGGTAATAAATAAATAAATATTATTAATATTATTATTATTATTATTGTTGTTGTTATTATTATTGTTGTTGTTATTATTATTGTTGTTGTTACCTGATCAAAGCACTTGTCACACAATTTACAGTCACACTTCTGACACAAATACTCCACCTTGGACTGATCACATTCTTCACATAATGTCACTGACTCTAATAAGGAATGAACAAGAGGAACATGACAAGGAGAGGGAGATAGGAGGGAGAGAGAGGGGGAGAGAGAGAGAGAGGAGGTAGAGGTGACTGTTTGATGTATACAAACTCACCACTACTGTTAGTAGAACAATCTAGATCAACAGCTTCTGGGTACTTCGACTCTAAATGATGACTTTTACCATTAGCAACAGTTGAGAATGGAGTCACACTAAAAATATAATGAATTATAAAATAAATAATGAAATAATAACAATAGTAATGATGATGATAATGATAATGATGATGATGATGATAATGGTGGCATACTTCTTTAGTCCTAAGAGGTGGGCCACAGTCAGTCCCAGTGTATAATAAGACAATGGAAACTGTTTAACGAGATCAACACCTCTTGAGAATAATGTGGGGTACTAGAGGGAGGGAGGGAGAGAGAGAGAGAGAGAGGGAGAGAGAGAGGGAGGGGGAGAAAGAGAGGGAGAAATTACTACCTCTAGCTACAGTTAAATAATACACATGTACCCTCTACTGTATAGTCAATGAACTAACATTGTTTAAGACAATACTAGAGGTTTATACAAGTACACATCTTCTTGAATGAACAATATCTCTTAGTGCCAAAATACAAATGATCTAACCTAACCAAGAACTCTACCTACTACACTACAGTCATTAGCATAATGCAAAGATACTGTTACCATTCACCACAAACCTATTAGTGGATCAGGGTGTTTTATTAACTGGTAGACCATACATGTACATGGTCATGTACTAATCCAATTACTGAC